ATGAACGCAGTCTGCAAAATGTGGATCCCGACCTGGCTTTCCAAATGCCTAAAGGCCAAAGCCATTTGGATTCAGGGTCTAGTTCAACCCATATAAAAAGCAGTGGGCTAGACTCTCACCTGGTGTGACAAAGAGCCACATTACACCTCCTGAGAATCTGGATTCGGGGCTTTTTGAGAAGTTCTCATTTGGACACCTCCCGTTAAGTGGGGAGAGAAGGTATTTTAATCCAGAGTATGAATTGATGTCCATTCTTAGGGGAAAAATGCCTCCAGCGATGTCAATAGCAACATTTCTGTTCACTTGAATAGTGTGAGGATTTCACCCTCGTCTCTCTCAGAAGGCACTCAGTGAACAAATTCTTCTTGGTATACTATATACACTCATTAAAGCATGAAGTAATGGCAAAACACAACATTTACCCTGCCTTGTTGAACACACTGGCTATGTCTACACTCGCAACTTCTTGCGCGAGTAATATGCAAGTGAGGCTAAGCGTGGACTATCGCCCAGCCTCATTTGCATACCTAATGATCCACCGTTTCTTTCAGAAGAGACTCTTGCGTGAGAAGGAGCGTCTACACTGCCTCTTCTTGCGCAAGAAAAACCCTCTTGCGCAATGCCGTTCTTCCTGAAAAGTAATAGGTGTAACGACATTGCACAAGAGGGTTTATCTTGCGCAAGAAGGGGCAGTGTAGATGCTCCTTCTTGCACAAGAACCTCTTCTGAAAAAAATGGTGGCTCATTAGGTATGCAAATGAGGCTCGGCAATATTCCGCGCTTAGCCTCATTTGCATATTACTCGCGCAAGAAGCCGCGAGTGTAGACATAGCCACTGTGTGACACAATGCTCCCATGGCCTCTTGCTTATTAACTACACAGAAAGCCCTTTTCATTACTACTCCCACAGCAGTAGGACCCCCAAAATGGTGCTCTAAAGATGGCAAGAAAAGATCCTATTTCATTCCCCACAGGTACGGCACATTTGCCATTCCCTCACGTAATCCTGTTGCCAAATTAGTCATCTTCTTGTCTGACGACCAAGAGTTCAAACCTTGTCTAAGTCCCTAGCCCAAGGCTAATGAGTCATGTCTTCAGATTTACAGGCTTTTTGGGGGTTTAATTATGATGGGATAAAGAAAAAAGCTGCATTGAAGTAAGCTGTAAATGAAGGCAATTTCCTTTCTCTGTCAGTAATCAAATGGCAGCCAGGCCTGTGTCTTCTGGAGACAGCAGAGAGAGCACGCATCAGCCAGCTCATTTTCTTGGGGTCAGGTCCGCTCACTCATACTTAGGCAATACAGAATGGAAGAGGAGAATCAAACTCAGCTGTGTCCTCACTAATTGCTGGTGAGGCTGGCCGTCTGTTTTTGCCGGAGAAGAGACAGATGTTGTTGGCTCTTTTCCCTTCTGGAAAAGCCTTCGAGTCTTGTGTGTCTGTACTGCTTCCTGGGCACATGAAATATTAACCTGCTGCCTCAAGAATTTCTGTTTGTGTACACAAAAATGGGCCTTAAGCGTGCATCTAGCAGTGGCATACACAGATAATCTGACAGTTGGCCCTTCTGCTGAAAGCAAGGGGGTGATGCTTAGCAAATGGAACTAGGCCAAAGTGAGCCAATGAGAATTGCACTGGAGAAGGTAGATAATTTAGGGGAAATTGGGCCATTGATTTGCCACAGTGTTCGGTCATTCCCCGGGAATTATCTATGGATATGGGATCAAAGCCAACCCCAGTAAACTCAATGGGAGTCAATGGGGTGTTGGATCAGGGCCTTTCTTTTTAACACTAAGACCACGTCTTCTCTTCCTGGAAGAATGACTCTGCAGCGATCGATCTTCTGGAGTTCCATTTAGCGGGTCTAGTAAAGACCCACTAAATCAAACGCTGAGAGCGACCCCATTGATGCCGGAATTCCTACTCCTCCTGAGGGAAGGTGATGGGAGCATTTGTCCCGTTAACCTCCTGTTGTGTGGACGGTTGTGAAGCTCGGCTTATGGTATGTTAATTCTAGCTATGTTTTTTACGTACCTTAAACCCGCTTTCCCCTATAGTGTGGACCTGGCCTAAGAGACAACAGTGTTCTACAGTGAGATTTAAAAAGAGAAGTATTAGGAGACTTTTAAGGATATAAGGAGAGAGACCTGCACTCACCCTCTGTCAGCAAGACAGACCCTCCAATCCCCATTTTTGCTATGGAAGATATTTCTCACTACTGCTCCAATGTGTAGTATTTATACCAGACATTTCGGCTACATCTTCATTGGCATGATCTTGTGCAAATACTCTTTAACACAAGAGTTCTTGCATTACAGTATTTGTGCTAGAGAGCATCTGCACTGGCATGTGCCTTTGCGCAAGAGATGTGCTTTTGCGCAAAAGCATCCATGCCAGTGTAGATGCTCTTTTGCGCAAGAAAGCTCTGATGGCCATTTTAGCCATCGGGCTTTCTTGCGCAAGAAATTCATGCTGCCTGTCTACACTGGCCTCTTGTGCAAGAACAGTTGTGCAAGAGGGCTTATTCCTGAGTGGGAGCATCATAGTTCTTGCGCAAGAAGCACTGATTTCACACATTAGAATGTCAGTGTTCTTGTGCAAGAACTCCCTGCCAGTGTAGACAGGCAGCATGTTTTTGCGCAAAAGTGGCTGCTTTGACACAAGATCGCGCCAATGTAGACACAGCCTTCATGTTTAAAAAGCTGTGCAAACATTAACTATCCAATCCCAACTCCCGTAAGAGAAAGATATGTCATGTAATCACCACATTGCTGATGGGGAAACTGAGAAAGTGCAATATGACTATGGCAAATCACACAGGGAGTGATTTGTTGACCAGATCTTAGGTGTTGAGCTCCCTTTGAAATACTTAAGTGTCTGATCAGGATTAGAATCCAAACCACAGGCCTTGACTCTCATTGGACTTTCACCTTTTTTTTTATCGGTCAAACTCCAGGGGGGTGATTTGGGTGGCTTGTTATTTAAACCAGTGGGAGTGACAAATCTAGTCCAATACCTGTCTGCTTTCTGAAGCGTTCCAGTAAATGCGACTGTCCCCTCTCCTCTCCTAAGATAACACACTGATATTTATTTAAAAACATCACAAAGCCAAGGACATAATTCAAAAGCTCTGATTTAGGAAAATCGCTTGTGTGTTAATCATTTCCTCTTTCCTGATTCACTGCTTGCTTGCATATAAAATATGGATTTGTTGGGCAAGCACAGATGCTCTTGGCAATGAAGATGGAAAGCAGAACTGTAGATAAAAGTAGGTAGGCTTTTTGTGTTCTGCAGAGGAGTAGCTTTGAAAAGGTAGCTTGCAAACCACAGAGAGAGACAGACACTTTACCATAGCAATAGGGAGAGGCAAAGAAAGAAACAGAAGCTGATGGAGGAGGAAAAAATGGAATGGAGATTAAAAATAGAAAAAGAGAGCTGGCAAGACACATTCCGTTCAGCTGTGGATGTGCAGTTCAGCATAGGGGATTTGGTGAAAATATGTGATGCGTGAAAAAAGAAGAAATGGGAAGACAAGAATTAAGCTTAGCGGGTGCTAAGAACTCTTGTTGAAATTAAAGATGAAATAATGAATAGGATAGCAAAGGTAAATTGGGTATGCCTCTCTATCGCCTTTCATAATGCAAGGAGGAAGGGAAGTTCGGTGAAAAGGAACACATTTGAAGCTGATAGACGGAAATGTTTACCTCAACATAACCTGTGGAACTCATTGCCACTTGATAACATTGAGGCTAAATGTTTAGCTAAGGACTCACCATTGAAATAGCTAGGATGAGCAACTGATTAAAGATACAGAGACTGTCATGCTTCAAGGGATAAATCAATTAGGAACTGATGGGGTTAGGAGGAAATTCAACTGGTGAGTAATGTCTACCATAGAATCATAGAGTCATAGAATTGGAAGAGACCACAGGAAGTCGTTCAGTCCAACCCCCTGCTCAAAGCAGGACCAACCCCAACTAAATCATCCCCGCCAGGGCTTTGTCAAGCCAGGACTTAAAAAAGTCTAAAGATAGAGATTCCACCACCACCTCCCTAGGTAACTCATCCCAGTGCTTCACCACCCTCCTAATGAAATAGTTGTTCTGAATAGCCAACTTAGACCTCCCCCACTGCAACTTGAGACCATTGCTCCTTGTTCTGCCATCAGTCACCACTGAGAACAGCCTTTCTCCATCCTCTTTGGAATCCCCCTTCAGGAAATTGAAGGCTGCTATCAAATTCCACCCCCCCCCCCTTCAAGCTTCTCTTCTGCAGACTAAACAAGCCCAAATCCCTCAGCCTCGCCTCATAAGTCATGCACTCCAGCTCCGTCATAACTGCCTCCTTCAAAGTGCTTGGCGTCTTTTTCTCGATCATCTTGTGCTGAACACTGCCAGAGACAGGACTCCGGCCTAGACAAACTTTCAGTCTGATTCAGTCTGGCAATTTCTGTGGTTTAAAATATGCAATGGGAACAAAAGGAAAAACAAAGGGAAGTTGGGAAAGGACTGAGGCATGCGTGGGAGAGTTTGGATATCCTCATCCTGCCGAGGAGGAGTAGACACTCGTGAGGTGTCTGCTCTGTTCAAAGTCATGGAGAGAAAAAACAAGACCATTCCTTACCTGCGTTGTGCAGGTTGTCCTGGATTGGCTTTGTGTGGCTGAGTCTAATAACGCACTGCTTGCCAAGAGGATCAGATCTATTAGCCGCATCTAGGAGAGCTTCCCTTTAGCTCAGAATGACAATTTGGCAGCTGAAAGGAAAGGGGTTGAGCCCCAACACCCTAGAAGTGCATATATGCATTATCCACGCGTTGTATGCAGACAACCTACAGAGGTAGTCTCTTGTGTGTAGGACGGAGACTCAATGGCTTAGCGTTAGCTGGGCCCAACCTTTCTCCTCCCTCTTCTTCGCAAGCACAGGGGAGTTCCTGGGTACCGCCCGGTAGACATGCTCATCTGTTGCTGTGAAGGACCATGTATGTTTTCTGTTAAATCCCAGGGATTCCATTCCAGAAGAAATAATGAGGAGGGCCAAACAGATCGGCTTCTCGGACAAGCAGATCGGGAAATGCATTGGCGTGACGGAGGCCCAGAGCCGGGAGCTGAGGCTGAAGAAGAACATAAAGCCGTGGGTGAAGCAGGTACCATATGAAGCATGTCTGCTCTGAGGTCTGGGGACCTGTGTTGATGGAAGAGACATGGACTTAACGGGCTGGTAGGAACAGTCTCGGAAAGCAAGGTTTGGGGTGAAATCCCAGCGCCACTGCAGTAAAGAGGAGTTTGGGCCCAGATGGGAGCGGAAACAAAATGTCCCGCTCCCCCCGCTCTTAATCCAATTCCGCAGCCATTAATGCAGCAAGTGGCACGAATGGAAGGAGAGAGGGAATATGCTTCCTTTCTCAGCCCACAGAGAGAGAGACCCAATACTCGGCTTCTGAGGGGCCGGGGCGGAAACCCTGCTGTTTAGCAGCAGTGGAACGTGAAAGGCTGAGAGCACCCACCCCTTTGTGACCGTGAAAAGCATGGCTAGCACCTTCACTCTTGGTAGTAACTTTTTAGAGGGTCATACTTTATTTTAAATGGCCCATCATTACGGGTTCATTTGGTATTCATTGTGATAGCACCGAGCCTAATGTGCTCATCTGGTATTCATGACCATGTCATAAATGCTTTCGTAGGTGTTCCATTGCCTTTCCTTTAAGGGTGGCTGGTACTGAAGTGCTTGCAGCTGGGTTTTGTCCTTAGGAAAAAAGAAAAATCATTGAACGCTCTTGAACGTGCGTAGAGGGCCCCTCTGCACCCTCCTGCCCAAGTGCCAAATATCCCCTCCTTGTCCTTGTCCTCACCTGGTCTGGGCCAGCTTGCCAGGCCTTGCAATCCGTTCCTTAGGCTGCCCTGGCGCGGCAGCTGAATTGATCTGCGCACCTCGTACCCTTCCCACGTTCATTCCACTGACGGCTGCATTGGCAGCAGCAAAGCACGTGCTTCTCCTAGAGTCACAAATGAATAGTAATAATAGTAGCAATGCACGGCCGACACTTATCTGGTACTAATACCAGAAGGTCCTCTTATTCATTGCTCACAAGGGTAGCCAGTGGGGAGTCATGAAAACATTTGATAATCCAGAAAGTTTCAGCCTATAAAAATTCATGCCAGAGGTTGCTTTATTGTTTTCCCATATTGATTGCACTCCTGTTTCAGCTGTCCATTCAGGGAGCATTAACAAGAACACATGACTTATGGTTGGCCAACTCTATGCTGTGTAGCACAAGAGGGAAACCGTTGATGCAAATAGCTTGTGAGCCACTCCCCCTCTGAGAATTATTCATGGTGTCTGGTGGATAGCTATACGCAAGAAATATATTGGGAGAAAATCAGTGTGGTTCCCCTACCTTTCACTAACCAAGGGCAGGCCTACATTACAATAACGGCTAGTGAATAGTACCTCCATTGGTGCCATGATGCTCCTGGAGAACAGCGTGGGTGTGTGCACTGTGGAAGTGAGAGGGACCAATTCTTCCAGAAGTAGTGGAGAGATCAGCAATAAGAACAGAAAAGTTCGCCGGTGAACTTGGTGGGGAGAGTTTGAACATAGCTCAAGAGAAGAACTGCTAGTGAAGGGTGTATCAAGAGTTGGAGTCAGCGGCTCAGAGTTCCTCTTGTCAGTAGAGGAGCTAGGCTGAGAGGAATGCACAGGTAGGTTTTTAATAAAGTGTTCCACTTCACCTGCATTCACCTCCATCCTATGCTAAGGAAACAGCTGGGAGCACAATATTCACCGGCGGAGGAGAAGTAAAACTATTTAGAAAGAAAAGGGAGGGTGAAGGGAAGAGAGGAAGGATTTGCCATAGAAAAAGTCTGTGGACCATGATGCCTTTCCCCAAAGGTACTTGGCAGCGTGCATGCATGGTCAACGTGGCAGGAGAGCAGAAGCTGGAGCTTAGAGGAAGAAGTCTGAGAAGGAAACGAAAGACATGAAAGGCCAGGCAGTGAAAGCTGCTAGTTTACCTTCTCTTTCTCTGAGGGTGTGGCCAGAAAGCAGCAAGCAAGCAGGTGGAGAGAAATGGAAAATGAGAAACAAAAGACAAAATGTTGCCCTTCATTCTTATTCATAATTTCCCTGCTTTACAGATTGACACACTGGCAGCAGAATACCCTGCAGTAACGAACTATCTCTACGTCACATACAACGGACAGGTAAGGGCTGTCAAGAGCTACAGTACAGCCGCAGCATTTTCTAATGGGTTTCTCTCTTTTTCCATTAGACTCTAGAGACCTTTCTGCCAATTCTCATTTTCCACAGCTGGTAATTGTTTCAAACGGCATTATGCATAGTCCCGTTTGAGTAGGGTTGAAGCATTCTTCTTCCCAAGCATTTACCGGGTGCCTTTAGGGGAAGAATGCGTTTCACGGCAGCATGGGTACAACATTCACCTCCAGAGTGACAATTTCCCCACAATGCTCCATCAATGTGCCTCAAACCTTAGGCCCTCTGGCTGTTGGTAGATTCTGTACCGTATTATCCAAGTGGCCGTTCAGTTTTTGGTTTCTCTGTTGAATCTGCCAGCCACGGAGCCATCGGGGTCTATGTTGTTGGGTGGTTTGTGATTCTATCAACCCCTCCCCTAGAAATTAGGCTGCCATGGCAAATCCATTGGCTGCTGAATAGCCTGTATGATGGAAATCTCTATGAAAACTAAGGGCTACTTGTAGGTGCCCTGGTTTTAATCAGTCATGTAACTCTTACAAAAATAGTGAAGAGTACTTTTGCTCCCCAGGAGCCTGGCCTGTGACTGCAATGTGCTGTCAAACCAGCCTTCCCCGTCCTCATTAACAGTCCGCCTTATTTTTCACCTCCGCATCTTCCATTGAGGACTTTATCCAAGAGGATTTTCTCTTCCACCTTCTCCTTTAAGGTTCCTCCTTGTAGCGATCTTCCTTGAGTGAAAGGCCATGCACAGACAGACATCCACCTGGGGATCTTAAGCAAAGGGACTTTGCATTGTCCACAGGATAGGAAGGTTCTCGCTGGTGTTTTGTTGTATGGTGCCTTGCATGGGACTTCTCCCTGCACCTTTACAGGTAGGCTGTTGTTAGTGGGAAATCATTATAATTCATGAGGGAAACGGACATTCCACAATGGGAGTGACATTTGGTTATTCCAAAACCGTATAGATGTACAGCAACCATAAAGGCAAGTTGAATGTGAGGGCCTCATCTCACTGAGGTATAACACCATTGACTTGAATGGGGTTTCTCCTGATTGACATTGCAGGAAATGAGCTCAGACTTGAGCATTGGGTGTCTTGCTTTTGGATATGGGCTGAGTGCTAGAAATGGTTTGTTCCCATCGATACGGAGCCAGGGATGTTTGGGTAGCACCTCACGACTTCTCTCCCTTCCTCCCTAGGAGAATGACGTAAAATTTGATGACCATGGAATGATGGTGCTGGGTTGTGGACCATACCACATAGGTAAATCTGTCCTCCTTCCACCCTGAAGTTGCCTGGGTTCTTGTGGCTCATTTAATACTTTTTTCACATGGCAACGGAACATGCGAGGACATAGTGTGTAGCATGTGGATTCCGAATACAGAGCTTGCCTTTTCAATTTGCTAACACGTTTCATGCCCTGGAAGTAGAAAGGAGCCTTCTTGCATCTGTTCAGCTGAAATGAGATTGCTTCAGGTGAAAGGAGAGATTTTTTTTGTTTTCTGTTTCTTAGTTGCAACTAACAGTAGAGTTCTTGGAATCTAGTATCTTGTATCCAAATTCATTGCGGTGCCACTTATGATAGTTTGAATTCACATCCGCCAGTAATATGTGACAGTGTTCAGCCCCTTAGTGTTTGAAGGAGTATGTGCGCTGTTTCAGTAGGTCATGCTGGTAATAATAAGAAAATACTTGTTCCCTATAATTCTTTGAACTGGGCCAATAACTCGCAGTGTGCACTGTAATTCCTGCCACTTCTTCTGTTCTTCTGTCCCCAAACAGCTTGCAATTCTTAACCTTGATTCGCTCTTCAAAACAATTTGCCATTCAATATTTGGTCTATAAGCCACTCACAACAAGTGTGCTGAAAGTCTTCAATATTTGAAATTCAGACAAATGTTGATTAGTTTTGTGTCACAGTTTGTTTCAAGTCTCTGATTTGAACATCACAACTCTTCAAATCAGGTTTACAATGTGAATATTCAGCTGAATGAAATCAGAATTAATTCTCCAGGAATAAGCTCTCTTGTTTGCTGAATTTGTGAACATTTGGGCCAGTAAACATATTAGCAGAAAGTAAACACAAAAGGGCTGCAAGGCTGTTGACCAATTCAAGCAAATATTTGAGGATACTATTTTGCAGTGTTCACCTAGAACAAGTAATTATTTTGGACAAAAAGCATGGGTCTGACCTTCTTCAGGTATATTTTGTCCTTTAGAAAAAAGCATGGTCATCTCCTGTAAAAGCAAAGGAGGCTGTCGCATGGGGATACAGTAAATGATTACTTGCGCTTCTGAATATGTTTTCCTAATGCAATGGCTAAGGCAGTAGTTTCTTGCTTAGTGATCCTTGGAAGACAGGATTACAAAGTTTCACATGCTGTTCCTCGTAAAACCAAAGAGAAGTTGCAATTTAGTGAGGCCCATCTAGCTTTCTCCCTATTCTTGTAGTTGCAAAACTAGAACCGCTCAAAGAAATGCGAAAGGCACGGTTGTGAAAATTTCAGAATGATTTCCAAATTGATTCAAAATGGACCAATCTCCTATTTTTCCCACACATATTTCTACAATACTTTAAATTGAAATTTTAAATCAAAACTTTTTCAAAATCATTAAACACGTTAACAAAATCTACAATTACTTACTGACAGCTGATTGTTTTTTTTTCTTTTGTTTTTGAAACAAGAAATGTCGATAATGCTTTCAGTTAATTTTTGTATCAAACTATTGATACACAAGTGTTTATTTTAAAATAAATGCCATTTGTGATGGGGAAAAAACTGTTCAGGAAGTGTAGACCTATTTTGTGCAAGGTAATTGTGACAACATGAATGATTCAAGAGTTATTAAAAACTACTAGGCCATATTGTGTATTTTTAAATAGCATCCCCTGATCCTAAACCGATCTGTGCTTTTGGTTTTTCTTCTTATCTTTTTGATAAAATATAAGGTGCCAAATTAAGGTATGGTGTAAACTGGTGCAAATACATTGACTTCTCAGGAGTTATGGCCTGCTTACATTAATGTACCTCTTCACGGGTGATTATCAATATTACTAATTGGCTACACTTCCTCTGAGGCTGGACATGGCAATTACCGGATGTGCCTGGCATATACTTGCACACATTTTGCAATTTTCCAGGCTTAAATCCAATGCTGATGGCATATGAGGTTCATGTCTCAAAATTGGAGTTTCATATACATGTAAGGACACTTGAATAATTGAAATTCAATTAAAATGGCTGATGACATTTGGGTGACCTCTACTGGGAAGGGCCATTTCCAATTTTGGGTTGTTTTTTTTTTTCTGTATTCAGCATCTCAAAATGCATGAATGAAACATGTAGTAGACTCAAGATTCTAGCTCGACAGGAACTTGGAAATTAATTGTGTGTCAGTCAGTAAGTGACCTGTGTGTTACTAGATAGTGTGGAAAGAGCAACTCTGTGCAGGTTGAATTTCAATCAGAACTTGTAACACAATTATACGCAATAACCGCACAGATAGTTAACGATCGTGTAACTCGGGTTGAGTCTCAGCTCTTTTTTAACAGCTCATAACCATAATAATCTAATCTCCCTTACATCTGAAGACACCTCATTCTCTGTTTATGATTATCCACTGGTACAGCATAGCTGAGAAACAAATGTAATATAAGATAATGGACACCACGGGTCTGATTCTTCCCTGACCTGCATCTTATTTAGTCATTTAGTCACCATGGCAAAGTAAGGGCAGATTTGCTGTTCAATGTTCCTATTCTAATTTGACTCTGTACATT